AAATAATGTATAATGTATATTTCCAGAAATACAAGTACTGTAGTATGAAAAGGACAGTATAACACAGCCACTGCAGATACCAGATGTCATATTTTGAAAGTTAGAAATGGGTATCTGTCTTCTAGGCAAAATTCTGTTCTAAGCAATACATACACGATAGCTTGTTTCTTGCGATTAGGAATCAAGCAAATTATATCGTTTCTCTTGGTAAATTACAGGGAGATGCATGTTATTGAATCTGTTCATAATTAGCAACAAAAAAGGAGCAGTAACAAGACAATTGTTGTAAAAGAAACACCATTCAGAACCTCAGTCTCTCTGCAAAAATTTATAAGAGAATCTAATGGTTATGCTGTTAAATTTTATATAAAAGGTGGGTATGCAAACAAAAGGGACTGGAAACTCAATTCATGCATCTCCAGGCTCATTTACTCTGTGTGCACATGAAGACAGGATAAAATGAAGAAAAATAAAGCACTTGATGTCAATAATTTAATGGAGAAAGTCTCCCAGTTTGCTGTTTGGACCAAAGATGAGAAGTTTATGATCATATTAATAACAAACAAAGCACATGAAAATGTATCTTGAATGCTAGTAAGAGACCAGCTCAGTAAAACAAGCCTCTGTTTATCACATTTTTAACTGATAACGTCTTGGAGATGGCAAGCTTTCAACTTCGATTTTGTCTTGTAGATCTGTACAAGAAAATCTCTAGTCGCCTTTGCAGATTTTGTACAATTTCATACCTGTATCACCAATTTGGTATTTGTGGAATGATGCAGACATAGTCTCTACAACATAGCTTTTAAACACACGCAAAATTTCAAATCCTTTCACAGAAATCTACCTACAGGAGATATAACAATAAACTGCATAGTCATATCATTTAAAGTAGCATGAAACCTTTATCCAGTAATATGTACTAATTTGAAAGTAAAGAAGTATTTTCTTTTGGGTCCTGCCTGTACTCTTTTGCTTAGCAAGTACAGAGTTGATAGACAGAAACAAGCACTTTTCACAATAAGTGAAAACAGATGCATTACTTAAGAAAGGAATGCAGTTCTTGATTCAGAGTCAGAATCATCTCTTGCATACTTCAAAATCCAACACCCTACAATGTATTTGTCCTTGCCCATTGTGTGCAGATGTTTCTGGATGACAACATGTCAGAATACCTTTTCATATTTGAGATATGAAGTTCAGTACAAGCATGACAATAACCTTTCGTTGGTAATTACACATCAAAAACTATAAGCATTCATTTCTTAACATCTTACAACATCTTTTTTTGTGCTTAGGGAAGAAATATGTTTCAAAGTGACAAAGGGTTTTTGGCTTCCAAGATAGCATGACAAGGAAAAATGAATCTCAGTTCAGAGTATCCAAAGATACTGCATCTCTATCGGCAAAATGTCCCACTCCTTGTCTGCTGGAAGGGTTCAGGGTGAAATTCTGGTCTTAGGTTAAATGTTGACTCCTGGCACAGACTTTTCTTTCCTAGTCTTTTGATCTGCCGATAAACTACAAATAAATTACCTGTATTTTGTAAGCTGTAATCAATTTGATCATACATTGTTTTCAGATGTTTATAAGAGGAAAGACTAAGAAAATATGACCCATTTCATTTACACTATTGCTTTGGACAGAGCCGTATCTCTTGAAACACAGGATCTAGTTTATATACTAAGAAGTAAATTAAAGTCAGCATTCAGTTATTTCATTGTCTTAATGCCTGAAAAAATGCAGTTCCTTGAATAGAAATGCCATGATCCAAATAGTAAAGCTGCCATTAATTCAGATAGAGATTTGTTTAATTCAGGAACTTAAGAGACTTGACTGTGAAAACCTGATGTTGTTTTTATATTAAAAAATCCCGAAGTATAATAGTCAACATACATGTCTACATTTAAAGTTTCCAGTCTTGTATCTCAGCTCTATGACAATCTGCTAACCTCTCATTAATTGAAAATCTTATTATTGAGAAGTTTGTTCTTCCTGCCCACACACAAATTAGAAAAAAATCTTAAACTTCAATATACAAATTGGTTCCAATGTAGGAAAAGTCAAAGAAGAAAGTTCCTTTCAGGTATATTGCTGCACAGTTGATCTACGGTTTTGGCCTTTGCTCTACAGCATCACTTACTGGCTTACTGCTAAACACTGGATTAGGTAGAGCAGTGGTTTGTTCTAGTGTGTCATCTGAATGCTTAAACATAATCTACTTTTGAAAAGACATTCTCCAGTTTTATGTATGATATGTAGAGTAGTGGCATAAAGGCATTAATACAGTTCAGACCCCCCAAAAATGTGTTTTAACGAAGCAGCAATTTGTTGGAATTGTAGAACAAAGTCTTCTGCTCTCCATGCAGAAGCAGATCAGAAAAGAACCTGGACCTACATAACTAATTTTCTTCCCATTGTGTTTGTCCATTAACCAGATGAAGTGCACACTTCCCATGCTGTTCCATTCATACAGCCTAGTGTTCATTCAGAAACAGAATGTTTCCTTTAGTTGATGGATTAAAGGCAGGAGCGGGGGAGGAGTGTAAAAGTGTTTGGGGATGTGCAATACTTCAAGAACAACGTTTAAAGGTTAATTCACACTAAAAGTTTGTAATGTATTTTTTAACACAGCTTCAGAACAAGACAGGTGCTGCCTCTTAAATGAGCAAAAATAACTTTAAAAAAACAAGATCTAAAGCAGTTTTTTGTGCAATTGCTGGGAAGTTAATGTCAGTTTATTTTTAAAATCAATCTTAGTTTTTATACTGTACTGAAAATGTAATGTAAGTGAACATTTTGGGGTTTTTTTGTCCTGCCTTGACTAATCTAGCATTATATTTTGGTAAATTGAAATATGAACCTAGGAATGTTTGTTAGTGACCTTAAAAATAGCACCAAGTAAACTCTGTAAGCAACTTTAAAAGTTACTGTTTGCTTTTCATCTTCACTTGCAGACCAGGTGTTTCTAGCAAAGCAAATCTGAGGAAAAGCTACTTTTGTTGGAGTGTCTTTGTGAACAAAACAGATGACATAAAGAGCAGGTGTTAAAATAGTGAAAAAAGGCAAATAGCATTTATTTTACAGGAAGTGTAGCTGTGGAACAGCTAGGAAAAGACCAGGCTGTTCTAAAGCATCTTATTTGGAAATCTTTTCTCAAATAAAAGAAAAATTTCTCTGTCTTGTAAAACAGAATCTGCCTTTTGATCCCTCAAAGAATGATTAGATATTCTTATCCTATTCCTCTTGTAACTGATTTCCCAGGGACTGACAGGAAAAAGCATAATTTTTACTAAATAAGGATGCTGGAATGTGCTTACTGGTTTCTGTTTACCTGATGCTACTTACGATACTGTGTTTGCCTACTTAAGTGGCATTTAGCACTGGAGTCTTGTGTGTGATTTTACTATTTACATTAGGAAATTGCTTAGCACATGGGTAGACTAGACTGTTTTACTTTGTGTGGTTTTCATCCTGCACTGCACATCTGTTAATGTTGGTCTTAACATTACAATAGTGAGCATTGTAAATTAATAAGTAGAAAGGTAAGTAACTATGTGGAGGGAAATACGTTTGCCTGGGAGATTAAAAAAAGAAAAGCTCCCAAACTGACATTATTTGGATGTCTAAATTAAGCATCCTAAACCCATAAAGACAGATTTGGAGGCATACACTTCAAGTGTATACAGATTTAAGCTTCGAGGTTCGTTTTCAGGTAGATGAAAACACTGTGCTTTCTGATTTGAGGTGTGACTTTGTTTCTTAGAGACACAAATTCGCCAGCAGGTTTCTTTGGTTCTACCATGCTAATTCTGTAACCTTGTAACTGATGAAAGAAGTGAACCCTAATGCAAAATCATTTTATAGTCATGTAATACGTGGCTACTTACTCATTCTAGAGAATTGTGAATTCTCTCCATTTGCAGCAAGTATTTCTTTCTTTGTGAAAAAACCTTTATGACATCACCAGAACACTTATTTGGAGATTCTATGTCAACTGCTCAGTTAAGTCCTCAAAATATTTATTGCTTAGAAGATAAGCATCGTAGTATAAAACATAAACACTCATAAATTTATTATGCAATTAAACTGTACTTCACACATTTTCAGGTACCAGTGAAGTAAAGGTTTCTTAAATCAAAATCTATTGAACTGTATAGCATTTAGAATGAAATGAGTTTCTATAAAAAATGTGGAAGAGTGATCAGGTTTATTCTCCGGTAGTATTAAGAATATACGCAGTATAATTTTTTTTCTTCTGTTTCAGGTATAATTTTACAAATGTTGCCACTCTGGCAATAAACATGTCATTTTCCCTTAGTTGCAATGGAGTTGCATTAAAGGAAGCTATGTGGCATCTCCAACACCTTTTCCAGAATATTTTTCCCTTGTATAGCATGTATTTGAGTGGAAATGTTACAGGATGCAAAGAATATCCACTAATGAACTTTCTTGAAATTCTATCACCTCACTAGTCTAATTTCACTCTGAGTCAGAACTGCAGTCTTTGCTTAGAATTACAGGTCTTTATCCGTGGGGCTTAATATGTTAATTTCTGCATGCAAGATTTAAAAATCATTTTTCAAACATGCCTCAGATAAAGGTGCATTCTGTATTCTTTAAATAGAGATAAAAACCCTTGTCAGTTAATTATAAATTAGTAGCTGGTTATTTCATGTCAGAAAATTCAGACATGCTCACAGTTTGCCTGCGTATGTAATTACTATTTGTCCAAGCAACCCAAGTGCAATGACAAACTTTAAAGCACGAGCTCCACAGAACACTGCAGTTCTCTGATCTCTTCTAGTCAGTAAAATTATGTTCTCAGACTTCAAAAAAACTTTGATTGAAAGTCAGAAATGTAGTTCAGATAATGTTTTGCGAATTTAGAAACAGAAGAGGGGGGGAAAAAAAAAAAAAAAAAAGAAAAAAACCCACAGTGAAATAGGTGACAGGATGTTGTAACCATTATTTTTAGAATAGAAATGATATTAACCTACCTTCATTAGCCACTGAGTGTTGTTTTCCATGATGTTTTCGAGTAGCTGCAGTCTTTGAACTGAATCATCATAATCTAAAGGCGCATCCCTTTGCACGGCGTTGGAGACGTACGAGGCAGAGGAGCGGCAGTTGTCCGTCTCGGGCAGGAGGAAGGTATAGCTGCACGACCCATGCTGAACCTGGTACTGCTTCTTGCCTATCGTCTCCATGCTCTTACTAAAGGAGTTGTATCCTGAAGCTAAGAAAATACTGCAGCCCCAAAAGAAGCAAGCAGTCAGCTGCATTTTAATTCCTGCCGTAGCCCAGCAAACCGAGAGTGCTTTAGAGGGCAAAGCGAGAGCGCAGACCTAGTTAACCTGCGCTGAAACCATGTGCTGTCAGGAGGAGGGCTGGGCTTTTTTGACTGTCCCCCTTGCGAGCTGGAAACGTGCCGTCTGCTGCCCCGAGCTGTCAGACGCGGAAAGCAAAACCCGGCCCCCTGCAGCCGGGGGGGCCCGGCCCGGCCCCGCTCCGCTTCCTCCCCCCCGCTCCGCGCCGCTCCGCGCCGCTCCGCGCCGCTCCGCGCCGCTCCGCGCCGCTCCGCGCCGCGCTCCGCCGGCCGCGCCGCCCGCCGCGCTCGCGTCGCTCCCCTGCTCCCAGAAGCCGAGAAGAGCGGGCGGACATGTGGAGCGGAGCTGCTCCTCCTCCTCCTCCTCCTCCTCCTCCTCCTCCTCCTCCTCCCCCCCACCCGGCTCCGCCAGCGCCGTCCTGCCGGGGAGGGGGGCGGCGCGGAGCTCCGCGGGGCTGCGCGGAGCTCCGCGGGAGGAGAGCCCCGGGAGGAGCCGGCAGCGGCAGCAGGACCCCCGCGAACTCCCGCGGCACGGCTCTAATTAAGAATTTCCTAGACAGAGCAATCAGTTCCGATAGCCTCCAACTATGCTTGGAAATTATTGGTGGTGGTAATAATTTTTAAACGCTGTAAAAAAAAAAAAAAAAAAAAAAAAAAAGTTCCTGGGCTTGTTTGTCCTTCTTAAAGAATGTATTTATCTTTTTTTTAAGATGTGCTGAACCAAGATGTAATTTCGTTTGTGTTTAATGCGTTGTGTAATTACAGAGAAAGACACTGTCCTAAGCATACAAAAGCAGGCTTGGGCATGTCCTTGCAGATAACAAGAGAGGGGGTTTAATTAAAAGGTTTCAGTTGAACACAGACTTTGTATTTTACTGAACCTCAGAGATGAATACTCATGTCTTTCAAGAGTTAAGCATTTTCAAGTTTGGGGGGTTTTTTTGGTTTTGTTTTGTTTTGTTTTGTTTTTTTTTAAGGCTTTTGTGTCTGTATTAAATGGCTAACTTTGGAAGTGCTAACCTCACAAGAGTTACAAATCACAAATCGGCTGGGACTGGAAGATGGAATGAGTACCCAGGGGCAGGGGCAGTAAGGCATGCCACGGGAAGTGGCAGGGCTGAATAGCAGTTACCCTGTCTGCTCTCAGTAGCCTGATTCTGTGCCCTTGGAAGTGGGAAATACCCATAAAAGGTGAGGGAAACTCTCATATAAGTGTTTGAATTGTATATGTATGAGTAAAAAGGAGCTTCCCCCTTCTTCCCACTCCCATCTGCTCTGAGATGATCAGTGATCTTAAAAAAGCAGAAAATTACTAATCAATTTACCAAACCCAGGGAAATAGTTGATTCCACTGAAATTTTGGAAAGTTTACTTCTCTGTTTCAGAAGATGTCTTCTTGAAGCCAGCACAATAGGATACTGACTCCTGAAGACAAACTGCCTGAGAGTTTTGCTAGGTCTGGATCTGAAAGCTATAGATTTTTCTTAATTAAAATAAACAAAGGGAATGCCATGCTAGTCAAGCTAACATGAATTACAGACCAAAGTTTCTCTTATAGGAGGAAGTTTGCAGCGTGCCTCAGGATCTCTTAGGACAGACTTTCTTACACAGCTTGCTATATTTCATATAGTGTATTAATGTGGCTTTTTAAATCATGGAAGTTGTGTTCAGGGGTTGTCAAAAATAGTTGTAGCAGCTAAAATACATGCCTTACATTGTTGGAAGCTGTTGGGATTTCTTTACATACTACATAGTTACCTCTGGAAAGGAAAATCTCTAGAATTCTATTCTGGACACTTCCAGAAAGGTTCTAATTATACTTGGACTGTGACCTGTGGAACCAATTTGTCAGATTTTTTTCCTGTGAAGTATTCATCTGCCATTGTTCATCCTTCCAGCCAGAGGAAATGGAGGAATATGTTTGGAACTTGAGATACAGTCAATATTTTTTTTATAAAATTTCCATGTTTGGAGGGTTTGGCATATAAATTATGCATTCTCCATCCCTTCAACTTTGTACTGCAATAGCAAAGCAAATTAATGTGACAGCTACCTGTGTTGTTAATGAAGTTTCGAAAGCTTTTTGTATACTGATTTCTACTTTTCAGTGTATTGAAGTCTTTGAAAAAATGTTTAATTCCATGTGAATAAGTCTTTTGCAAGGTAACTGAGAAACCTACTGCTATCCAATGAAGACAGCATGTAGGATTAGATTTATACACTGGACTATGTGAAGCATTTCTAGGTATCTAACCAGACATTCAGATTCAGTATTTTCTGTTATTTGAGTATTTTTATTTAATTTGCTGAGTTAAATGAGAATTTCCTATTATGACTTGTACTTCTCCTTAAATTGGTCTGTTCTCTGCTTTCTTTTCCTCTCTCAGTTAGCCTCAAAAATACAGGGCCCTCAGCAGAATAGTGCTGAAAATAAGATTTCTCCAGCCGAGAAAGTATCTGTCTCCTAATGAGGAAGAACTGGAGGATAATTTTAATTTTTCTGATTGTATTTTCATAGATTTTTTTAATCCTTTAGTTAGATACTAAATGTAAAGCTGAGACTGACCAGTGTAGTCTTTTAGAAGTTTTCAATTATTAGACCTCTACTCATAGGACTGTACATATATAAAAGATAAGATTTAAGGGACGCTGAGAATTCATTAGACAGGATCCCGTTGAGAGGCTTGATTAAATCAATAGTTTTTGAATTGCTATGAAGCTTGCCATGTGTATGCCACACTGGTGAGTCAGATCACCAAAATAATCTGGCATCTCAGTTTTGCTGTGTTTTTGAGGAGAGACTGGAGTGTCTCTAAAGGTTTGAACTGGAGTCTGTTTTCCTTTAGGAAAGGCTGATGCGTGACCCCAGGAGGCCCTTGAGCTGTAGTGGGGCCAGGAACAAAACTGAACTTGGAGGCTGCCTAACGAGGCTTGCTGTATCTTGTACCTCCACTAGGGAGAACTGTGGTTGTATGAATACTGGAAAGAGAAACTAGTTCACCTTTTACTGTGTTTTTGGCTGGGTTTGTTTTTTTTGTGGGGTTTTTTGTTTGGTTTTGGTTTTTTTTTTTTTTTTTTTTTTGAATGAATGAATGAATGAATGGCTAGTTGCTCTGGCAGCTGTCAGCAATTCGGGGAAAAGGTATAAAAAGTGCAGGTATTATTCTGAGAAATGGCAACAAAATACTAATGGAAGACCCTTACCATCTAGCTCTTATCTTACCATCTAGCTCTAGGACTAACATCCTGAGGTTCACCGTGGTAATGTTTTCCCCAACTTTTCCTTGATAATTCCGGGCTGTAGGGGCAATAATTGGAATACAACCCCCACATACACACATAATTGAGGGAGGATTTGGCTGTTCCCCCATCTGGGTCCAACAGACTCATATTGCTTTAATGAAGTGCTCTTTCCCACTGCCCAAGAAAGTTAGTGAGCGTTCACCTTGCCAACAAAATAAATATACATCCCTTTAACCCTTCACTACAGGATAGTGCCGTATTTGGTGCATCTTTTGGAGCATTTGATTGTGATCCTTCACCCTTTCTATCCCTTTGGGAGCAGCTTTCCCAGCTGTGGAGGAGGAAGTGGTCTTTCTGCCTCCCCAGGGAGTCAAAGGCAGTCAGAGTTCAGGGGGAAAGAAAGTAGTAACAGCTAAATTTAGAAAACTGGTGTGAAAAGTAAGGCAAGTTAAATACATTTTTGTCCTTGAAAACTGAGGAGGAGGAAGGAAGATGCCTGAACACAACCTTTTTACTGAGCGTCAGAGGCATAATAACAAGTCTGCTTGCAGGGCAGGGCTTATTCCAGAAAACCTGAATGACAGAGAATAACTGTCTCCTGTCAACTATGAGAAGGAACATCTCATTGATAGACATGTTGAAGTAAGAAGAAATGTAAATAATTTGGCATGGAACCTTATATATGCCAGTATGAAACTGAGTAAAAAGTTGTAATTCTGACCAGCTGATTCCTCTCGGTGTTTTTCATGTTCATTGTTCTCTTAATCTTTTATTTCTGCTGTCAATATAGAGTGGTACATTTATTCTGCAAACTCAAATATAGCTGCTTAGTCTGTGATTTCCTGCTTGCTTTACAGCTGAGTGTATATAGTATTTGACATAAAATAGCAAATAGTGGCTTGGTATATTTAAAGTACAAATTAGATCTTTCCCTTTTTAGAAAGAAGATACCCACTTTACAGAACTCACCTTATAAGAAGAGCTGAAATGTATATTTTGTCAAAACTAAACATTTAGAACGTTTTGCCAGATGTGTTGCAGGCAATTTCCTTTCCTGGGAAACAGTAAATTCCCTTACTCAGCCAATCCTTGTTTTATTCCATACAGCATGTGACTAAGCTGCTTTGAGAGAGATGCCTGAATACCACTAACATTATCTTTCCAATTATCATTTTACTTACAGCTGCACAGCTTCTGTTTGACAGGCAAATACAGAGATCTTGTGAGATCTCTGATAGAAAAGGAAGCATAAAAGTGTTTGAGGTAATGTAAGAAAATGTTGACTTGGCTTTAGTCTGCTATCTGAAGACTTTGCCACCTAAAACTTTCAAGATGTTGATTTAGTAGATAAGCAAGTTCTCATTTCAGAAGTTTTCTTGTTTTAGCAAGGGAAAAACATGTAATGAAATATGTGCAAAATAAAAGCAGACTAATGTAAACAAGTAGGTTTTGGTGCTGCATTCTTATAGGGATATTTGATCTACATACATAAATGAAAATGCTGTAGAGAATATGGAACTTCAAAATCAAATTTGAGATAAAAAATTATCTGAAACTTGGAATAAATTAATCAGGTATTTTATATATGCCTGGTGTTTACATTCCTCACATTTTGATGCTCAATGTTACATCCCCAGCTTTGGTTCCTGGTAATTTAATATTAGTTTATGGTAGTTCCATTTGCTGGCTTCAAAATATTTTCTTTCATTGGGAGTATTTTAGCATGTTTCTCAGGAACAAATGTCAACAAGGACAAGACTCATGAACTCCTAACTTGAAAAAACAGGGAACAGGATCTTGGACCCTACTAGGTTTTTGGTCTGCTGAATATCTTAAATCTGTTTTGAGATCTTACACTCTTTGAAAGAGAGGAGTTCCAGGTTTCTATGTTTTCTAATAAGCCAAAATGAATTGTTTTCATCAAGACCCATAGTTCAGTTCTTTAGAACTTGTAAAATTAGTGGTTATATCTTACCAATTGTTCCTTCTTTCTCCACCATTTGTCTATTATCCTTCCTATTCCATCTGAACTTCTCTACCAGTATCTCATGACTTCTTTAACAAATCCTCAGGATCTCCCTCACTTTCTCAGCTGCTACTGATTTCTAATCACTCAGATCATCTGGTGTAACATCTTGTGAATTCATAGTCATCTTTATATTCTGTCTCTGATGTTCCCTCACATCTCCTTTGAGTGCCCTTCCTTTCAAGGGAGGGAATTTACTCAGTAATTCTCATATTATAGTTTTGTGAAGGGACAAGAGATCAATAATCTGA